TTCAAAAAAAACGTCAAAAATATGCTGAACATCCAAAATATATTTAAGGCAAAATAATTTAATAAATAATCAAAATATTAACAAAAAACTTACATTTTGAAATAATTGGGCAGAGAATTTTATTACGCAATTATTTAGAATCCTAGACGTCCTGGAGCAACGCGCATACCTGTTTCTTTTTTGCTTGGATGAATAATGTCATTGTTTTTAGAGGTCAAAACGCCCCGAAATATATTAACGCTGTATAGTAGCGAAAAAATTTGATTCTCGGTTTCGATCATAAGGTTCAGCAAACAGTTTTTCGGTGAGAAGAAAAAATCCTAAAAGTTAATTGTATTGTTATTAAAAAGTACTAATCGTGTGAAAATCGTTTATTGGCTTAAGGTGTCGGAATAAAGACTTTCCGAAGAATATTTGACGACGGTCTGAAAAACTTCGATCTGATCTGTGTTCATCTTTTCATCGGTGCTAGCATGCTTGGACCAGTAATTTTTTAATCTCCTTAGTCTTGCTACCTGCTTTTCCAACTTTTTTATCTCCTGGTCGCATTCGTCGTCAATGTCCGGCATTTTTATGTGGTGCCTTTTAAAAAAGTCTTCTGTACGAGATTCTAAATCGTTGATATCGATGTACTTTTCTTTCTAGAAGGTATTTGGTTAAACCAAAACATGCCTTGGTTTGAGTACTTACATGTTTTAGGTATTGCATCGGTATATCCTTACTATCCTGTTGCAGGAATATCTTCAAAACATCCATGTTATCCTGAATTTCCTGCAATCTTTTCTTTATTTTCATACGGTCTTGAATTTCGTAATCTCTGGCGAAAATATCTTGAACTTTAATGCGGGACTTAAACAATTGTGGTTGGTTGATTTTAGGCTCATATTTTGATACGATGTGGGATGAATCCATGTAGAAATTTTGAAACGAAAAGTTATGACAGTTAAAGTTTTGTCTACATTTCAATATTGACAGGTAGAAGTTATGTTGGTAATGTTTTACAAAATAAATTATGAATTTCGTCTTTGGGACCCTAAATAATGCAAAATCTAAAACTTTGTATCCTTTAAATCTGCATTATGAAGCTTAAAGATGCATGGCGTAGTCGAAGAGACAGGTTAGCCATTATTTATGTTTAACTGAATCTTCAGAGATAAATTATATTGGAACGCAAAGGATTAAGACTGCTTCGTAGAAAGTACAAATCTCCCTAGTGGGGATATGTAGATAAATGCAAATGTAATTATTTCCATAACCAGGAAACTCGCTTAACTTTCTTGTCTAGTCTAGCTAGTCTCGAGATTACCGGCGTCTTAAATTTTAGATGGATGATCTTTGCCTTTTAAACTGTTCAAGTTTAATGACAGGACTTTTTAGCACTCTCAGCCCTGTACCTGCTTTAAATTGATGATTATATGGACCCAGTTATGAAGAATGCAACCTCAAAAGAATTGTTTTGTGTAAATTAAGGTTTACTTATCAAATCGCAATAAATTTGTTTATCCAACACATGACAGTTATGACTGTCATTATTAATCTCATTTTAAAGTAGTATTCTATTTATTTATTATTATTACAAGCAGAATTCACATTGATATTGAAATGAAAGAAAGTCATTGTAAAATTCATTGGTTCATTGGAACCAGACGCTCCCATATCGGTACAGCTGCTGATAGTGCTGGAAGACGCCGACGCATTAGAACCTTTTATTTTTTCTGCAATTTGTATTTTGTTATGCACCGATTCTTCTAGGTATCCTTCTGCTACCGTCGAGGACTTCCATCCTCCGTGACGCTTCAAAGTAGTCAGATTAGCCCCTGCATTGGCCAAAAGAGTTGCCGAAGACCTTCTCAGGCAGTGACCGGTGTAGAGCGCTGGTTCCTCCAATTCAAAAACATTGCAATTCTTAAAGGTATCTTTGACAACGTATTTATTTCCACACACTGGCTGGTACACCTGTAAAAAACAAAAAAGCGGCTAGAACTAGTATTCTTTGGTCTCAAAGAGATGTATTTTTTACACAAATTGATCGGGTTGACTGGAAATCCTTCTTCAAGTATGGTGAAACTTTTCAATTTCTTGGTATTAGTGTTTGGCAAAATTACGTGAAAATATTTTCCTTTGTCTTGAATATTTTCTATTTTTAAATTGACCAATTCATCGCATCTACAAGCACCGCTAATCCCCATTATCAAAGCCACTTTCATCAACAGGTACTCGTCGTCGGGAGCTTCCTTCAAAAACTTCTCTATTTCAGGTCGTTCTAATGTCTTGGACTTCTTTGGTTTGTATCCCTGTGATTTGCTTTTTAAAAAACTCGTTAGTTTGCGATATTTTGAAATGTCGATTTTTTTATAAAGGTGAATAGTCGAGCGAAGCATCGAGTATTTGGTCCACAGCGACGATGGGGCAAATTTTTTTTGCAAATTTAAAAAATAAGCCAATAGAACATTTTCATCGATACCTTTTATCTTCCGTGAATTCATCCAAGATACAAACATTTTGAACTCCTTGTCGTAAGCATCTCGGGACTTTTCTGGCAAAATCTGCATCGCTGCTTCTTCCGCTTCCGTAAGTATATCCTCAGGAACGTAATTTTCATCGGTTTCCTCCATTTTCTATACGTTTTTTTCTTCAAAAAAGCTTCCCTTTACTGCAGGGAAAACTGACAAGTGTCAAAATTTATTTAAACATTTGCTAACAATGTGTCATGCCCGTGGCAACCAAACAAACAACGTACTTTGACCATGTGCACAATATCTTATTTCCAAAATTAGACGTAAGTTAAAGAATCCACTATTGCTTATTTTTTGGACTAAACTGGAAAATAACGACAATTTTCTAAAAATTGGCATATAATCGTAGTAAGCCTCGATATTCACAAAATCTTGAAAATGTTCCAACTGCCTCATGAATGGGAATAACTTAAGATTTTGGAAAAAATACATCTCTTCGTTTAACACCCTGTAGTATAATAAGTGCAAAATATCGTATTCCCAAAATTAGACATAAGAGTCAAAGAATCAGCTATTCAGAATTTCCAAAGATTTTCAAAATCGATTCAGTAATTTTCCAATAGCGAGCTTTCAAATATTTTCCAAAAAACTAGGTGCGTCGATTTTTATGACGAGCAGTTTATTTATAAGAAAAAAACTAAAATCTTGTTTAATTATAGCTCTCCAGAATAAAAATAATGGACTAAACTTATTCAGCTTTGGCTTTTTGTCGTAACGCTTTTTTATTTCATTACATGGTCTTTTGTAGTAGAAGTTTTAATTAAAAAAACCGATATCCACCAATCAATTTTATCAGATAGAATAAATAGCCGAAGGCTGTATTTTCGAGTGTAAGCTTCATTTGGTGCTTTGTTAAATTTAAAACGTTTGAAACAAAACTCGGTTGGAATAATGAAATGCATTTTTTTTTAATATTTTGGTTAGACATTTGATAAATAAACAGTTTTGTGTACCAGAGCGAAGTTGACACATTATAACAACAAGATGAAATCCGAAATTATCCGGATATGATAGCAAGAACGAACATTTATTATGATTTTGTGGAACACTTACAATAATAGCTACATGAGCATCAATCGACGTAAAAAGTGATCAATGATAAAAATTTTAATGATTTTTTTTTTAAATATGGCACTATCATTTCCTTAAAGGATGATAACTAGGGATGGGATTTTAGTTATTTTACCTTTTTTTAACCGATGTAACTATTTGAAAACCAATAATGCCAAAATGTGTTTTAAAAGATTTTCTTTTATATGAACCTAACTTGTTTTCACCTTTTTTGGAGGTTTTTGCTTTAAACAACCTTTTTTATACTTTTGTTACCTATTTTTTTTTAACTTGTTTTCACTTTTTTTAACATTTTTGGAGGTTTTTGCTTTAAACTACCTTTTTATACTTTTGTTACATATTTTTTAATTAGTCAGTTTATTTTCACCTATTTGTTACCTATTTTTACGTATTTTTACTTATTTTATTTTTTGTGTTCTTTTTAAATTTTGCGCCAATATTTTATCCAGGGCGTGCAACTCAACGGTATGGAATTTTTTCTTTTGGTCACAGACTGTAACAGTAACTTTCTTTGCAGTTACCTTCTTTGTAGTGAGCTTATGTTCTGTCATAGAACTTCTGTGTAGTGAGTGTCACTCAGTGAAACACAGTTTATTGCATAGAAATAGTTTATTGTGGGTATGTTCTGTGTTTGGGTATGCGGTTAAACAAAATTATAAAAAATGCCCAAAACCAAAGAAAATCCTCTAAATAAACTCAGCAGTTGGATAGAGGGGAAGAATAAGATATTTTCTATTGACGGAAAAAACTTATTTTGTAGAGTTTGCTGTAAAATTGTAAGGACTTTGAGGTTATGTTAAAACATCTTTCTTTAATTTATATACATTTTAGCTATCTGTTGAGCAAAAATCACATATATATCAACATGAAAAGTCAATTAAATCTGAAAAATCTGAAAAATTCGGCCAAATAGCAGAAAATTCAGAGGAAAATTTCGTCTCAAAATATAGAAAAGATTCTTATTTGTTACTCAAGTAGTAAAGTTACATGGTGGGTAAATATTAGGTATTCCATATTTTTTAGTTCCTTCTTGCTTTAAGTTATATAAAAAGTTTTATTTTATGTTACTTAATCGTTTGTTACTATAGTAGTAAATTTGGTAAATATCAGGTATTCCCTGTTATATTTTCAGTTCCTTATAGCTTTAATTAACTATTGGTCAGTTTATAAAAATAAACGAAACTTGAACTTTTAATGTTTTTTTTACCTAAAATGCTGTTTTTTTAACCTAAAATGCTTTTTTTAGTAATTTTTTATTTACCTATTTTTCAGTTTTTAGTAACTATGTAAATTTCCCATCTTTAATAATAACTTATCTTGTGATTAAAGGAAGAAAAAAAAAGTGCAGGATTACTTGTTTAGTTTTAAAACATTTGCATGTAAAACAGGGGGAAAGTTGAAAGATTAATTAACCTAATTTTTGTTTCCTGTTTTGTCGAAATAATTTTCACTTTTACTTTTTGCCATCTCCTGACCTAGTTTCTCGTTTTCGAAGGGGAAAGGGGAGTATGAAACAGAAGAGGAACTACGTGAGAAATTCCCAGGAATCGATACGTCTTCCAGGAACAATCGTTCTCCACACTCTCCAAGGAGGAAAATGTCCTCCTCCTCCTCTCTTTTCATTCGCTTTCCACTTAGTCTAATCTTAATCGGCATTGAGCCTTCCAAGCCCAAACACGATTTATTTTAAATACCGTAGACTTTTTATTAAGTGCTCTCCCAATGCTTGGAACAATGCAATAGTCATTTGTTTTACAAGTGTTGAAAAGCGATTTTTTCATGAGGGTGTTTAGGTTGCTTACGAGGCCTTTAGGCGTTAACACGAGTTCGAAGAAAGCTTTTCACACAAGTGAAATACAATATTTTTTCCACGACCCTTTTATTTTTTAATATTCTCAAATACAAAACAAAATAACCTAAAAACATATTTTACAGCTGTTAGGTTATGAGTTATTTAAGATCAATAAACTGACCGTTTCAATGTAAATAAAGGCACTAAAAATTAGAATTTATTACGTGATATTTAGACATACATCTACAAATACAATACATATTATAATAAAAGCAAAGATAATAAATCATATAGATACGCCACTGTCACATATTTGACGCTTCTTGTTACGCACACTCCTACCGCTATGTCGCTAGTTGTACCCGCCTGATATTTATAGGTTTTAGGTTATGGTTTTAATTCTAAAACATTTTTTCATATTTGTAATAGATGGCACTGTATATTATAACGAAAAAAATCAATTTTGTTCGATTTTTCTTCTGTATACGATTCTCCAATAATTTTTGAATAAAATATATAGTTTTATTTTTTTTTATTTATTTATTAAATTTTAATTAAAGTAGGTGCTCAAAAAAACAATATTAAATATTTGCTCGACGAACTCTTTTTTCGGTTGAACACTCCCGTTTGTAGTAAACTGCTTGACTGTACGGTGAAATGAAGTACGTGATCGAATTTTATCCGGAAAACGCTGAGCGTAGATATTAACAGCATCATCAAGATTCCTAATCATTTCTATTTTTTCTTCCCCTTTTAAAAAATCCATTATAAATAACTGCTTAACGAAAGGAGGTCTTTTTGTTTGCAAATTAATCTTCGAACTAAATTGATTGAATAATGCTAAACTATACCATACCATAAACCATACCATTTTTTATACCTCAATTAGGATTAAATTTATTAATTGACAAAATAATGTTTTTTTTACCTTAAATGAGGTATTTTTATTAAAAATAGTACAATAATCCTTTAAATTAAAGGATTTAATGCTGGCAGGTAAAAAGTGACCATGTTGCGCAATTGATAATTATCACCGAATGAAATAATGTATAAAACTTAAACCAAAGGAAACTTAAATCTTAGTTAAAAAATCGTGGGTACTTAAAAAAATCAGATTTAATCTAATAAGATAATTATTACCAAAAAAAGTGATATTTTTATAGAAAAATTATTGCCGAATCGTATACAGAAGAAAAATCGAACAAAATTGGACCAATTGTAGTACTGATTTTTTTTTAAGTTTTTAAGAGTACAGAACAAACCAAATAAACACAATATAAATTTACAAAACACTCAGGTTAGGTTCGTATACCAAACTTAACTTTGTTGATTTCGTTACCAAGCAACCACCAAGACAAACCGCCGGTCCTGCCACATGTGCTACGAGTGTAAACTAAAACCATAGTCGACTAGACAAAAATATAGATTTAGTTTGTTTAAGGCAAATTTCTAAGCAACGATGCCATTACGAAATGCGACTTTTACACAGTGGTCGTAGAATAGTATATTCTGTAACAAGTTTGGAATACAGCATATTCCGCTCGAGTGAAGAGTTTGTCACACGAGCCGAAGGCTAGTTTGACGGTTTCACGAGAGCGGAATATGCAATTCCAAACGTGTTTCAGACTATAATTTTTCTACGTTTTTAAAAAATACCAAAGAAAAATAATTTGATTGGAAGAAAGTGAGGTTGGATCGGTCTAAAATTGGTTAGATATTAAAAACAGAGATGTCGCCACGAGTGTTTATTCTGTCATCCGATGATAGAATATTTTATTCTGTAACACTTCACGGAATATATGTCATTCCATAGATAAAAGTGTTTTGGGTATTATTAAAAATCAATAGGCTTCAAATCGCAGCTTCTCGGTGGCCACTTTATAATTTAAAAAATCAAAATGCAAGTGCTTTTGGGACACCTTACTGAAGTAGGTAAAACAATTAGTTAACCATAAGTTGTGGGCTTCTAGGGTTAGCGTTTCCTGTAGCGGTTTTATAGCAAACAAACACGCATAAACGCGAAGCTTAGCGTAAAGCGATTAATTTTACAGCTACCGTGAATGTATTAATTACCGTTCAGGAGTAACCAGGCACGAATGCCTTGCATTAAACACCGCAGAAATCCTGCTTGAACCGCTTTAATTTTACTATTTAAGAACAATCTGTTAATTTTGATTTTATTAGTTTTTTAGAGGTAACATAAAATATGTGTCATTTTCAAAATTGATGTACATTAAAATTAAAAAAAAAAAGAATATAAATTTATTATTTATAAAAAAAATTTTGAGTACAAAACTAAGTAAAAGCAAAAACTAAGTTCTATTTCTCAACTTTCTTACATGGGTCGTTTTCAAAAAACACCCGCTTTCCGCTGTCCGTAAGTTTGAATTCCAATAACTTTGTTAAAAATTATCGGATCTTATTGATTTAACAACCAAGTGAAAGCCTAACAAGCCCTTAGTAAACTCTTTAAAATATTGAATAACCAGAACTTTGTGTTGCTTTATAGCAATCCATAACATCCTTAGTTAATACAGTAAACAATTTATATATAAATTAATTAATTTTAATCTACTTTTTTAAATTTGAATCATATCCCAGACATTTTTTCCGTTGCGTTACGTCCGTCGCATTACCGATAGAATACTAAAAAAAACATATATATGGCAACTTTTTTGGCACTCACGTGATCAACAAATGATGTTCGGACGTACACATTACCCAGCTGAATTTATTTATTTAATCAGGAAGAAGATATCGGTTGAAACAGGTGCGGGTAACGCGAATGTAATAATTGTTTGTCGGCTAAGTTACTCAAAAAAATAATAAAAATAAGGTAAGAAAAAATACTATTTTTCATGTTTATGTTTATTTTAGGGCACTAAAGCTCATTAATGACTGTAATGTCTTATTAGTATTTTTTAAATATGGTTTCACAAAATTGTGTCCACTGCGTTACCGAGTCCATTATGTTACCTTATAGTAACGCAATGGAATTTAGGGTAACACAATAGAATTTTTCGACAACAAAGTGAATATTTACCGTCGCTTTTATTAAAAGTAGTTTATGATAAACCTATTTAAAATTATTTGTGATTACAACTAATGATATAGATTACATCCAAGGGAAAATTCCACGCAATATACAAGTACTAAAAGACACCAGCTTATAGTCAAAGAAAAAGGGTGTCTACAATTTAGAAATCTAAGTTATTATTCTGCAAGTGAGCACCACTACAAGGTTTTTGTTTATGCATTACTCTAAAATCGTACCACCCTATATAGTTTCTTTTTTACGTTATCTGATTAATTCCTTTGTGTACCCCAGTCCGTTGTGATACCAATGTCTATTTCGTTACTTTTTTTAGTTTTTGTTAAAAAAAATCCTTAAAATGATTTTACTATCACTTGGTAATACCTGTTTATAAATTAGAGTTTTAACTCACTAATACAGTGACTAAAACAAAATATTAATGGTATTGTTTTTTTAACAAAGAATCGGAATGGTGTCTTTTAAAAGTAACTTAACTACCATAAATATTTAAAAAAGGCATACAATTTTTAATAAAAATTAAAATTGGAGTCAAAAGTTTGTGAACTAAGTACATTTTATTTCAAATTATTTTTTTTTTATTAAATTAAATTTAGTATTTTAAATTCGTAACACAGTGGAGATATATAAAGCTAGCTTAACACATTTTTCTGAAAAAAACGTAACAAAAATTAAAAAGTGCACTGCCTGTCTTAAATGTAAGTAAACAAAACTCTAAACATTTATAAAAATCCAACCAAAACTCAATTTAAGCAAAAAAAATTTTGATCTTCATTTTCCTGAAAGCGGGTGTTTCTTGAAAATTACCCATATAGTTGCTAAAAACACTTAATAATAATAATAATAATAATAATAATAATAATAATAAAGTTGAGGGATAGCAAATGTACAAGAAATTTAAAAATAACCCATATACTTTATTATATTTTTTTTAACGAATCAATATTTTTTGTCACTTTAAGTGGTGAGAAAACATTTCATATCCCGCTTCGGTTAGGTTTTTACTCGCGAGCCACTTTAGAAAAGATCAGGAGATGAAGTCTCACCGAATTCCTGTTTTCTCGGGATATCGGTATTGAAAGATGCACTCTCCATATTGCCTTGTTTATCCCGCATATTTTTCTTTATCCTCGAACTACACTCCGACAAGCCTTATGTCTATATCCCGAACATAAACCCTGGAAATATAACAGATGCCCCGAAAATATAGACTTTTTATCGAACTTTTATTTTATAAGAGAGAATCTTTGGCAAGGTATAAAAATTCATAGGACGGAAAGTTTGAAAATAATTTTTTTTATGTGATGGCAATATACAGGGTGTCACCAAGTAAGTTGTCATCCTTTGGATAGTACCTAGAGATGTAAAAAAACGGTTTTTTTCAGATTTGAAAAAAACATGAAAAAAAACTAGAAAAAAAAAACCGTTTTTTTTTTTCAAATCCGCTACAATAAAGCATATTCTGTCAATAAATAACATCAATATTAAAAAATTGAGTAATTTTTCAAAATGAAATTTTAAGTAAAATGTATATTAATATAATAATAATATGGTGAAATGAAGAATATATTACATTTTTCATTATTGAAAATATTGACCGACACTAAAAATTCTGATTTCTAATTATTTGGTAGTACACATAAGAAACCAATAGAAATTTAAAACTTTTACACTAATAGAAAAAATTAAAGGATAAAAAAAATTCCAAATTTTTTGCAATTTTTGGGATAGCTTCTAGTTTTGAGATTTTTAGATGAAAAACGCTTAACCCTAACGAATACCGTATACGTATTATAATAAAAAAAACCATTTTTTTGGTCCACGGATTGTTTTGACCACCAATGAATAAATGTTCTACAAGAATTGGCTATTGTTTTTTTTTTTAAATTCCATACTCTTCATGAATTTGAAAAATCATTAAAAAATTAAAAAATCAAGCGCTAAATCAAAAATATTATAGGTAGTTCCTTTTTTTAGGACCAAATCATAACAAGCGAGGCCCTTATTGGTCAATTCGGTGGTGTCAATGTCATTTAGTGGCTAATTTTAGTCCTGGACTGGAATCATAAAAAAATAGGCAAATTGGACTAATCTTGAAAAAAAAACCTAAAATATGAAGAAAAAAAACATTTGAAAAAAAAACAATGAAAAAAACCATATCTCTAATAGTACCTACTATCACTTAAAAATTAAATAATTAAAAATTAAACTTGGTTCAAAAAATAACTAAAATTAATTAATTTTAATAATAATTCTCCAAAATGGTATAAATTTAAATATAAAGTTGCCTTACACTTCAAATCACATTTCTAACAAAAAACTTAAAATATGAAGAGAATATTAGTGAGTTAGGCGAAAAAAAAATTAAAAATTGCAATTTTATGAACACGAACCTTAAAACTAAATTTGATTGCATTAATTGTTTTTAAAATTAAATTATTTTGTAATTATTATTATATTATGTATCAAGTTTGATAAACGCCATTTTATACACGAATTTAATTGAGTGTATAGAAAAGTTTATAAACGAGGTGCATACTATACTTTTTCTACGACAAATACTTATTATTATCTTAAAATGATTTAAATCAAAAATTTGTATAGAGCGCCATCTATGAAACAATAGGGGAATCTGTGTGTCACCGTCAAATGTCAAATTTGTTTATTTTATAAACACAGATTATAAAGGTTATAAATCGAAATGTATTTCTTGAAAATTGACAGTTTTTCACAGTGAAAATAAAGAAAATGTTTTATGAGCACTTTACAGTGGAGTCCGTGTCAGAATTTAAGTTATAGTTTACTGCCGGCGAAATTAAAAGGCCAGTACAATGTTCATATAAACTTTTTAAATATTGGCGTTGAGAAACTATTTAATACTTTTGTATTTTTGTATTGAAATAATAAAATAATTTTCACATTTAGTATTATTTGACAAGAAAGGCACTTTATTTTAACGATTTTATGACATTTGACAACTGTCAACTAACTTAAAACTAACTTCACCCCGTGACTAAAAACATATTGCTAACTTCAGCCCGTGACTAAAGCGCCATAAAGAAACATGTACGATTTTAAGGTTTTAAAGGTGGGAGTAGAAAAAAACCTTTTTACATAGAATTACAGCCAGTTTCACAATCAAACTTTAAAATGTACTTTAACTAAAGATAAAAAAGATCTAAAGTTAAGGCGTTTCATAATCCTACCCATTAGAAATTTTATACTTAAGACAGCCGAAAATTGACAAAATTTGACAGATGTGTTATTAAGTTTATTTTCGTATTTTCGCTATGAACAGTACTAAATCAAAAAGAGGTTATAATTTCTCCACAGAGGATGAAATTGGAAAACAAAAAAAGATGTTGGAAAATAACAAACCAACAATATTTCTGGCAATGAAAAGAAATACCTCATAATCTCTGAATTTGAAAAATAATAGAAAAAAAATGGAAAATCATCAAAAATGGAATCATCAATTTTTTAGCTTTAGTTTCTATAGAAATTATCTCTATGGAAAGCAATAAACCAATGTAACACTAATGTTAAAAACGGAAATGTAAAAAACGGAAAAAACGGAAATAAAAGCAGATAAAGGAACGAAAACCCAGATTTTAAAGTAAATTTTATTTTACGTTTTTTCTGACATCTGATAACTGTCACCTCACTTTTTTCCAATCTGACATCTGTCAAACTTTTTTAACCTCACTTTTCTCCAATTTAATGCACTAAGAAATATAATTTCCACCACTCTCTTAAAATGAATTGGTCAAAAATAACTAATTATAAGTCATATTTAACTAATTGTCATAGCGAAAAAGCAGCCACTAATAATTAGTCAAATTCTACTGAATGAAATAGTCACATTAGTAGATTTAAATTTAAAAAAAGTTTTGACCCAGCCGGGGATTGAACTCAGGTCTGTCACTTGTCAAGCTTGTCTAGCTGTTGTCATAACCCATCAGCCGCTCTTATAAAAATCAATTTTATTTGTAAATAAATATTGTTCATAATATTTTAAAGTTGAATATATTATTCGTGTTGCTATTTTATTTTACACGAAAATCGGGTATTTTTAGAGCAGGTAAAATCGGATATTTTGTAAATTTCGATCAAAAAACTAACTAAAGAAATTTACATTAAATAATATTGTATATTTACTAAATATTCATAATTTGTTTACTCTATCCTGTTACATTTTTATTTACTTATATAAAAAATTTAAATTTAATAAATAAATATATCTAGTTTAATAAAATATTTAATTTTTAAGTTAACAAAATACTAAACATTAACGTAGAAAAGAAAGAAACCTTCAGGATAAACTGTTCTTTCAAATTATTTTTATATTGGCTGTAATCTTCAAAAACGCTCCTCCCAAGGTTAATCGTTTCGTGATGTTCAAAGAACTAAATTGAATTTAAACTATGTAGATTTTCCGAAATTCATTTAAATAAATTAAAGGGATTTTTCAGTGTTGGTTGTATGTTATTTGCAAACATATTTTATCAGAGTGAGTACTTCAACAAACAGTATTTTCCATTAATAAAATTTAATTTAATTTAAATTTCGTTGTGATCAGTATTTATTTGTTCTCATTTTATAATTTTTTTTTTAATTTAAAAATATTTTCTCATAATGTTTTTGCTTTTGTATTTATTTTACACTTTTGTGTAAATAACATATATATATATATATATATATATATATATATAAGATATTTTTCTAGTAATTTCTGTTTGTTCTCGATATGTTTTGACACTTTTCATAATAAAAAAAACAAAAAACAAATAAAATTAAATACATATTTTTTTAAATGAAATTAAAAATATGAATAAGGTTTATAAAAATGGGGTTGCTCAAAGAACTAATATTTGTCTTTTAATCTTACATGAAAAAAATGGGTTAATGGTTAATATTTATTTAAAAAAAATATTTTTTAATTTTATACATTTACGAGAAAAAAATACTCGATCTTTTGAGTCACCCTAATAAATGAACTACAACAGATTAGGAGTAAATTCATTCATACCAATAGATAAGTTAAGGGAATTACTTACTTATTATATAGGACGATGTCTGGTCTCCATATGTGATCCGAGGGTACATGCAGCATGTGTACCCCCCCGTACTCCTTTGGCTCCCATCGTAGCTTATAGTCGTACCATGACTGAAAAATAATTTTTGATTTAATATAAAATATATCAACAATATTAATATTTCGAATCTACGTAAAAAACTGTGTGCCAAAAAAATTGATTTGCTCTTTTGGTTACGGAGCTATGATGTTAAAATACTAAAAAATAATTTCAATGTTTCAAGCAGCACGTTGTTGTTTATTTCCATGGAAACGCGCTATTTTGATCTAAGTTAGTCAAGAATTTTGAAATTTTGACGATTCAAGTTTTTTTGTGCAAAATAATTTTAATGTGCAAGTTGATTTTGGGGGAGTGTAGAAAAAACTAAAGAGAAGCTGCACAAGTGTGGGCAGAGAGATTTCCTGATAATCTCATATGGCATTTCAAAGACTGGAAGCGAGGAGTCGTACTACTGGCAGTTTGAAACCAAAAAAACGAGTTCGGAGGAGATCTAAAACTGATGAAAATAATGCAATTGGTGTTTTAGGAGCGGCAGCTGTTGACCCGCAAGTCAGTACCAGGCGGCGCTAGAGATGCTGGTCTGAGTCAAAAATCTGTTCTGAACATTTTGCATTTGTACAAATTTCATCCATATAATATGACATTGCACCAAGAGCTATACGGACAAGATTTTGAAAAATGCAAGGAAATAACATTTCGAAGTTGTGGGCAGGTACAATTCTAAATTATCCCTTATCAGTAGAAATTTAATCCTTTTTTTTTGTTTTTGTTTGGTTCTTTTCTTAAAGGTTAATAGACACAATATGCACTACTGGGCTGCGAAAAATCCCCACTGGGTAAGAATTCGGCCAAATCAACACCCATGGTCACTTAATGTCTAGTTTGCAATAATGGAGAATAGAGTTATTGGTCCGCATTTCTTTGAAGGGGACTTAAACGGAGAAACGTACACGGATTTTTTAAGAAACCATTTACCGCAATTATTAAACAAGGATATGTGGTTTCAGCAGGATGGAGCTCCACCACATTATGGTATTGAGGCCCGACCCTATTTGAATGCAATTTTTCAAAATAGGTAGATTGGTCGAGCTGGTCCGGTCAATTGCCCTGCTGGGTCGCCTGATTTGACCCCTCTGGATTATTTCCTTTGGGGTTTTATCAATGATGGCAATTGCGCCTACAACATTAGAGGACATGAAGGACATAATCCGCGTTGCCTTCTCTAATGTAACACCTAAAATGTTGCAAAAATATATCGGGAATTTTAGTTTTTTTAAACAAATATTTATTTATTCCCTTTAAAATAGTCCCCATTGGATATTATGCCCATGTGTCAGCTCTTCTTCCAATACTCGAAACACTTCTAAAACTCGATCTTTGGGGTAGCCTTTAGTTCTTTCAGCGATGCGCTTTAATTAATTTTGTTGCCACGCTTTAATTAATTTTGCTGCCACGCGTTTTATACCCAAAACATTCGAAAAAATTTCATGGGATAAGCCAATCGATATACCAACATCATCATAGACTTTTCTGATGGTTTATAACCATTTTCCACTTTTTCCATGTTTTTATCGGTTGTTAATGTGCTTATGCGTATGGGGCGTTCGTAATCTTCAACGTCTTCACGGCCATCTTGGAAACTCTTATACCACTTGTAAACTCTTGTTTTACTTATAGCAGACTCACTATATGCCTTTGTTAACATTTTACAGAATTTATTTAATTTTTTAAGCAAAATTGGATACAAATTCTTTTATCCATTTCTTTTAACGAACGAAAAATCGCCGAGCTCATAAAACACCTCTAACCTTAGCGGCTGCCACAGACAAAGTAAACGATGAAAACAGCTAAAGTTTTTATCATACTTCGGGGGCATGTATACCAACACAATAAAGAAAATTTTATGACCACTGTGTTGCAATGATTTCGTAGATTTATTTTGTCGTTTACTGTTTTAAAATGCACTTCTCGGTATATTTTTAGAGTATTTTAAGGTTATGTTTTTACAACAAATATGTTTTGTTAGATTTCTTAAATTTAAAACTTAAGTATAAATTATTTTAGGTAAAGTTATCATTAGTTTATTCTGCGTCAACAAATATTCGTGCCGAATTGTATTCTTTGGCAACTTAGATAAAATACACACACTAACGTAACTATATAAGCATATAAGCGTTGAGTAGTAATAGTAATTAAATTTTCCGTAAAAAAATCAATTTTTAAACACTATGGTTCTTCAAAAACACCAAGAAATAAATGTCGACTTTTGACTGGCTTTTTAAATTTGCGAATCAGCCCAACGTGCTATAGCGGATGGCAGATAAGAGCAGTCAAGTCGAGTCGAGACGAGACGCAACCCAACCCGGTTATGAGTTAATTGAATTCCGGTGTCGGATAGGTAAAGGTAAAGTAGATAGCCGTATTGCCGGTAAAACTGGCTAGTGTGGTTTTCATACCGAAAACGATCAATTTTAATTACAATTATTATTGCGAATTTGGCTAGGCGTCTGCCCGCCCCAGCTAGCGCCAGATAATGAGAAATTAATACGCTAATGACCTTTCTGAATGTGAATTTCCTCCACGCACATAAATTATGCACAGGGATAGGTTTAATGCGCATGCGTGTTAGTTTTAATTTGCCAATGTAAAATTTACCTATTTTAAACGTTTCTATATATTTAATTATTTTCTTATATGTCCAATATATTACTATATTTGTATCCCGGACATTTACCAGCCGATTCTTATGTAAAATTGGCTCCTGAATCCGAAAAGACCGTCAAAAACTATAAACGTTAAGCAGTTTTTGAGATATAGTAAATTCCATATTATATGTAAAATTGATTATATTTCAAAAACAGTTCTACTTTTATAACTATTGACGACATTTTCGGATTCAGCGAATAATATTTCATAGAAATTGACTCTTAAATGTCCTGGATACAAATTGCTGTTGACGAGAATTATTAGTGGCTGCTTTTTCGCTATTACATTTTTGACTAATTCATTTTTAGAGAGTAAGTAATATAGTGATTTCTTCGTCACAGGACATCTTGCAGAATAACAGTGATTTAAATACAGTGCATGAGAAAAAAAAAACTAATGGCAACAAAATTAATAAATTCGGAAAATACTTTTAACATACCACCCAAAAAAATATTAGATATGGGTGATTCTACAAAAGTTGGACAACTTGATGTCATCAGTCAATAGAGTAGGTATTTTAATATTTTTTGTAAATATTTCAGTATACTACAAAAGATCCAGGCTTTTTTAACTTGTCTCCCTAAAAGCACGTTTGTAGAAAAACATAATAAATATTCAAAACGTCAGTACCTTGGCGTGTCCTGAATCAATTTTATTTTAAAATATAATCAATTTATCTTAAATTTCACTACAAACTATAAAACATTAAATAATGTATTTTTCAAATTTTATCATAGATTCGAATAATAGCAATTTTTTAAAAATTCATATCTTTTAACCCGTCAGTTCTGGGTCCAATGTTAAAATTCAAAATTCCTGCGTTTTAACTCAAGTGATGGTAAAAAATTACCTACAGAGCCCGCCCTTTGCACGACAGTAATCTTGAAAACAATGCAAGCGGCGAAGTTGTGGTGAATGCACGTATAGTTCCAGTCAAAATTTCAGTACTGTGGAGAGTAGTTATTTTCTTGCGTATATATATTTCGTTGTAATTTATATAAGGCTATATGTAATTTGTTGATAAGTAGCATCCACTAATAAAAATTATCAGTAAAATACTTAATTCCGAATTATAATCTCAAATTTGTATCCCATTCATCAGTACCGTGTCGCCAGTTCCATGTTCAATGTTTCGGTTATCTTTTTTTCGCAAACTTCAATTTATTTGCGCAGAACTTGTTGATTTAATGTCATTATAAACTCATATAAATTTGGTGTGGGTCCCATATCTAATAATTGAGATATCGGTATACCAAAAATCCACCAGCCGCCACTGATGTGTGGTGTTATTTGATTTTAAGATGTTTAATGTAAAATATGCTCAAAGTTGCAATAAATCTTATATTTTCCAATAAATTATGTATTTAATTAGTACTCTGGTATACTCGTCACTTCCCTTGCATTCAAATTTAGAAAACAGGTATTTCAGAAACTGCTTGAAAAAGTGACTGGCCCGGTCTGGAACAGTATATTTATTATGTTATCTATGTTCTCATAACAAAATACTGTTTAATTTTCTCCGAAAACTATATAAACCAAATGAGGTCAAAAGTTGCCCAACTTTTGTAGAATCACCCATGTATATAAATAATCCTGTTTCGGCCTAAACATTATAAATGCTTCACAAACTGGAGATACCACACTAAGTCTTAATGATATTTGAGAAATATATGAATTATATGAAAAAAAAATATTTATAAAATTAGTATGGGAAAGTTGAAAGTCACCCAGTGTCAAACAATAAATTTCATTTTATCGATCAGGGTTATCTAAATCATTCCCAGAACACTTCTCTTCGTGTGACTTTTGATTTTGAACTGTGGAATTTCTAATATGCTATTAAATTTAAATTTGGAGATACGACTTTGCAAGGATCTTTCAGGACCCAATAAAACCCTGGGCCGTTGTAAATCAGAGCCTATCTAATTTACAAAGAAGGGTGTAAAGGGTAGTTTTATGTGTAATTCTGACTTACGCCCCATTACTTTCTTTTTGGACCCGAAAAAATCCTACACAGATTTAAAAAAGGTTAAGACTTAAACGTGCAATTTATTATTATTATTATTATTATTATTATTATTATTATCGAAATTCGAGTTCTTAAAATAAAGTTTTTTGAAAAGTTAAGTGCCTAATAATCCAGTCTAATATAATAGTTATTTATGTCATTAGGTTAAGAAGTAAGGCTTTTTGTGCTAAGCTCAAGCACAAAAAGGCACTTCTTGGCCGAATGGCATACAACATTTTATCTTCAAAGCACTTTATATAGGCCAATTTAATTCAACATCAAAGCGGCCTAACCTCACTTTTTTAGAATCTCATTTATTTATTAGCTAAAGATTACATTAAATGTACAATAATTATTATTGCTTTTAGAAGCAGTAATAGTTTGACAATACCTAGCAACATGATTTAAGTAGAAATAGATTTTTGCTATAACATTAATTGTTTAATGAATAGGTAGGTATCTAATTTCAATTTGTTTGGATTTTTATTTAAAAAATAGGTAGTTTAGAATGTTTAAGCTGTGTTTAACATTTAATTTCACTGAAAACTTAAAGCAAATTAAAACTTAAAGATAATTTAAATCGTAGAAAAAGAATCGTGTGTTTTCTTGGTTGCCTAACCTCACTTTTTGTTTAATTATTCATATTTAATTTTACAATAATTTAATGCAAAATATTAAACATTAACAGTAAAACAAACAAATTAGTGCTTATTATAAATAAATTAAACCAGTTTAGTACGTTAATTTCTTAGAAAAGGATTAATTGGTCAAAACAATACCCCTAGCGAGAAAAAATCGAACTAATTACTTGCCTCATAAAATGTTTTATCGGCCTAGGCCATAACAAGGTATTTCTTTATCGAATGTTGACAACAATAAAGTTTAAATTATAGACCGCGTGGAGATAAAATATTTTAGATTCAATATTTGAAAATTTGATTTGGCGTAATTTTACATTGGCCTCGGTTCGCTAACCGTATTCCATCTTATAAAGCGTTCATAAAAGGGTCCAAGGATTAGGCATCCTTGAGAGATACTATTGTCCCTAATATAATTTCAGGGGATCATTGAGTTATATTATTGGTTCAAAAGTGGAGGAGAAATATCCAGCGGGCTATCTCCTTTAACTTTATAATCAAATATGTTTTAGTTTGGTTTGAATTAATGCGATAAATTTTAGTACTTTCGAACAAAAGGGTGATATGGTACAGTTAATATTAATCTTATTAGTAGTTGTATTAATATACAAGTTTTTAGATGACAAACAACATACATTTTACATACATTTCTTGCTGTTATACCCGTAAATTAAATCTGAACAATTCTATCGAAATTACCCAAGTTCTACAAACACATAAATTAAGTTAAAAGTTTAAATTATATATCCTTATGGAAAAAGTGGAAAAAGCAACAAATGAGAACAAATTAAATAAAAACAGAATTTTTTTTGGAAGATAAGTGTTTTTGAAGAAAACGAGGGTATTTTGGAAGAAGCGACTCAAAATCTGCTTCCATCTAAGTCAAAATAAAAATATGATGAAACTTTTGAACAATTATGTCAATGGGGAAATAATCAAGGAGTACAAGGTGTCAGTGAAAATGTTATGCTAGCGTTTTTTTTGGGAAAGGTAAGAAGCTAATGCTTTGAAAAAATAAATTTTCAATTTTTTTCTTGTATTTTTAGTCCAAAAATTTGAAGGCATCGTCACTGTGGTCAACATATTCGATGCTGAAGAGTACGTTGTAAACATATGAAGGCAGTGACATTTAAAAATAGAAGCAATTCATTCACTTTTGGAAAAACAGAATGAAGGATATGAACCTAAAAGTCAAAAGTGTTGTCAATTGAACAAACTATGATGTTTCTAAATGACGCTTCGAATGAATCGTTTCTATTTATCAAAGTGGCATTAATTTTTGCTTTAAATGGAGCAATGCGAGGGGAAGAATTACGAACACTAACAATTAACGATATAGAAGAGAATGAATCG